AGCGAATCAAATCATATGCTGTGCACTAATTCGACTTTCTGTTTCTAGTATCGAGGACCAACGTCAGATTGAAAATTCGCTGGTAATCAAGAACAGTTTTCTATCAAAAAACTCAGTTCTTAGAAGAAAATCAAGCACGGTTAGAATAATAAAAGATTGGACTCTTGGTGCGGAAAGTTGAGTTGATCATGGTGTACAATCGCTGCATGAAATTAATTAGTAATATTGTGGTCAGTTTTCCACAGCAAAATTGACAGATTATAGAGAGGGAGAGTTTGACCCTCCCACTTTGATCATATACGAATAACCTCACTCAGAAACTGGTTACATTGGAAAGCGGACTAAGTTCAACCATGAAATCATAAACTCGGGGTACATAATGAAGCCCAATAATCCTGGACAGAAGTTTGGTTAAAGCCAAATACAAAAAAATAATTCATTCCAGTTTAAAATTGTGGTTATTTGTTAAAATCAAACATTAAATCAGTTATAATTTCCTACCTCATCAAGTATTGGTATTCCGTAATCACGTACTACTGATGTGTCACGTACAATAGTTCGAAGTGTACTACAGATATATGCACAACCACGGTTGATATAACAGTGAGATTCAGATATGTACAATGTCACGGTTGATATACACACAGTGGGATTAAGATATGTACAAGCCATGATTTATATAATCCCAGTGGGATTAAGATATGTACAAAGCAACGGTGAGATTAGAATGTGCACAATATACTGGTAGATACCAGAGTTGGAGGTTACACAATACAAGGGATTGCCTACAGAGGGCAGTGTTACTAATATAATATGTTATTAGAGAAAAACACAAGCCATTGTATAATCGCAGTGGGATTAAGATATCTACAAAGCCATTATTTATATAATCACAGTGAGATTAAGATATGTACAAAGCAACGGTGAGATTAGAATGTGCACAATATACTGGTAGATACCAGAGTTGGAGGTTACACAATACAAGGGATTGTCTATAGAGGGCAGTGGTACTAATATCATATGTTATTAGAGAAAAACACAGAAGATGTTAGTTTTATATTTTATAAATATATTTCAGTTATGTTACGTGAAAGATAAATGTTTGATAATAAACTCTATTACAAAAGGAGATGTGCATTCCCACTCAAACGTAGACAATGTCAACATACAACCGCAAATCACTTAATGAAAAGTTCTCACGTCCTTCAGAGGCAGCCAATCTATTTTTAAAACAAACTGCAACGTCAACTACAATATTACTGTTTAGCTCAGCAGGGGAAACATCTTCTGCATATCACCATATCAACCCAATTCACTCAGACCACGTGGTAACAAGCTCTTATTGGTTTAAAAATCGAACAAAACAAACAATATTTATACGATGACCTTTCTCATAGAAAGAATTCCGTGTTTATTGTTATAACTACTAAAGAAGGGCTTCATCGTCATATTTCCACGTTCTGAGTGGCATAGCACGATCACGTGACACTGCTAATACATTTTGAACTGATTCAATTTTACATGCATGTTTTGTATGATATTT